AACTGCAAGACGAGGCAAAGCAAAACAATATCAGATTAATAGGAATTAATGAAACAACAGGTGTCAACACAAATGACATAAAAAGACTATTTGCAGTAATAATAGCAGAAAATTTCCCAGAAATGGAAAAAGAATCAGACATCCAGATAAGTTAAGCATATAGAACTCCAGTTAATCATAACCAAAATAAATCTACCCCAGATATAAAGTGATCAAGATCCCAGAAACTCAACAAAAGCTCAGAATATTAAAAGCTATTAGAGGAAAGAAACAGATCACCTATAAAGGAAATCTGAATCATGGCAGACTTCTCAATGTAAACCATCAAGGCAAGAGGAACTTGGAGTAAAGTATTTCAGGTACTGAAAGCAAATAACTTCCAACAAAGATTGATGTACCCTGCAAAGCTATCTTTCAAATTTAATAGAGAAATAAAATATTTTCATGATAAAGAACAACTGAATAAATTCATGAACTCCAAACCCATTCTACAAAGAATACTAAAAGATACACTAGAAAGAGATAAAACAGACTGCAATTTCAAGAACAACAACGGAAAGGTACCACCAAGCACAACAAGCAATTAAACAGAGGGAAAAAGGAGGATCCAACAGCAGGAAAATAGCATGATAAAGACAAGCCAGTGCATATCAGTTATAACCGTCAATGTAAATGGTCTCAATGCACCAACCAAAAGAAGAGGACTTTCAGAGTGGATTAGGAAACAAAACCCAACTATATGCTGTACATAAGAAACATATTTAACTCAAAAGGAAATTCAAAGACTGAAAATTAAAGGATGGAAAACAGTACTCCATGTGACAGGGACCCAGAAAAAAGCAGGTGTAGCTATTCTGTTTGCAGACAATGAGAACTTCAAACCAAGAGCAATCAAAAGAGATAAAGAAGGTCACTACATACTTGTGAAGGGGAAGCTTCAAGAAGAAGAGATAACAGTCATGAATATCTATGCACCAAATATAGGAGCACCCACCTATATAAGACAAATTCTAACAGACATGAAAAATGAAATAAGTAGCAACACAATCAAAACAAGGTACCTTAACACACCATTGTCACAAAGAGATAGATCAACTAGACAAAAAATTGGGAAAGAAATAACAGAACTTAACCAGACGTGTGAACATATGGACTTAGTAGACCTTTACAAAGTGTTCCACCCAACAGCATCAGAATAAACATTCTTCTTAGTTGCACATGGGACATTCTCTAAAGTAAACCATATACAAATACATAGAACATGTTTAAGGAAATGCAAAGGAATTGAAATTATCCCATGTATAATATCACACCATACCACAATGAAATTGGAAATTAATGACAAAATAAAACACAAAAACTCCATAAACAGTTGGAAATTAAATAACGTCCTCCTGACCAACCAATGGGTCACAACTGAAATCAAAGTAGAGTTTAAACACTATTTACAATCAAACAAAAACATACAACTTCAGGAATAACCTACAGGAACTGTGAGATGCAATTAAAGCAGTCCTCAGAGGGAAATTTAGAGCAGTGAACTCCACCTTAGGAAAACAAAACAAGCACAAATAAACAATCTTATGCTACACTTGAAGTTCCTAGAAAAAGAAGAGCAAGTCAAACCCAGAGCCCAAAGAAGGCAGGAAATTGTAAAGCTCAGAGCAGAAATTAATGCAATGGAGACTAAAACAACAATACAAAGAATTAGTGAATTGAAGAGTTGGTTCTTTGAAAGAATAAATACAAAATAACCCCATTGCATACCTTATCCAAAAAGGAAAGAAAAAACTGAAATACATGGAATAAGGAATGAAAGGGGTGAAATCACTACAGATCCTGAAGAAATTCGGATATCATCAATAGCTACTTTCAAAATCTTTACTCTCATGGGATGGAAAATACAGAGGAAATGGGCAGATTTATAGATACATATGAATTACAAAGCTGAATGAAGAAAATATAAAAATCCTGAATAACTCAACATCAGCCAGTGAAATTGAGAATGTAATTAAAATCTTGCCAGTGAAGAAAGCCCCAGGTCTTGATGGATTCACAGCTGAATTCCACAAGCAATTTAGGGAAGATTTAACAGCAATTCTTCTCAAACTCTTTAATGGAATTGAAAGGGAAATATAGCAAAATATATTTTGGGGAAATTGCCTTATTCCTGGAGGCAAGTACTATTCTGATACCAAAACCAGAAAAAGATCCAACCAAGAAAGAGAACTACAGACCAATCTCCCTAATGAATATAGATGCAAAAATTCTCAATAAAATACTACCAGACAGAATACAAGTCATCAAAAAGATTACACAGCACAACCAAGTGGGATTCATACTTGGAATGCAGGGACGGTTATAATATACACAAATCAATCAATGTACTACACCATACCAATAGAGCCAAGGCAAAAATCACATGATCTCCGTTGATGCAGAAAAAGCCTTCGATAAAGTTCAATACTCATTCCTGTGGAAAACCCTATAGGAAAAAGGAACAGATGGCCTTTATCTCAAGCTGATCAAAGCCATCTATGAGAAACCAACAGCTAACATCATACTAAATGGTGAAATATCGAAAATTTTCACTTTAAAATCAGGAACATGACAAGGATGTTCACTGTCACCACTCCAATTCAATATAGTTCTGGCAACACTGGCTAGAGCAATTAGAAAAGAAAAAGATATAAAAGGAATAAGGATAGGAAAGGAAGAAGTGAAATTTTCATTATTCACAGATGACATGATACTGCACATAGAAGACCCCATAAACTCCACCAAAAGGCTCATGGAATTTTTTTTTAAATAAAAGGAGGAAAGCATTAACAGACAGACAACATTTTACAAAATAGCAAAAGAACAGTACAGACAATATGGAATTACAAACAAAGTGGTAGG